ATATTAATAGGGAATTTGGTAAAAAGCATAACTGAGATACTAGAAAATGCCAAAGATCCTTCTTCTAATATCTGAGTGCTTAATAGGGCCTGGTATTTCACCACTGAATAATACTTATTCAAGTATCTTTTCATTAGATTTTTATGAGCCTTAAGTACAATTTATATAAATTTTCTGGACTAATTTTTTGTATATCAGTGACTCCAGAAATTGAAATTTAATGGAAAAATCAAATACTAATAAATTCCAGATTAAACACAGTACCTAAAGAAGTTTTTGCCCCTATCATTTTTGGTGTTGTGTAGATCAGAGATTCTGAGTGACAATTACACTTTAATTTGAAAATTGAATTGGCCTCAACTAAAAAGGAAATTTGAAACTTCCCCATATGTATATAAAACAAAAAGCATTACTTTGTTACAATGATGCATGTTCAGTATTTCATTATGACCAGGTCGAAATAAAAATCTTTCAAGATATAAAATAAAGCATTCTTTATTTATACAACTAATTGCAGAATCAATTTCAGTACAACACACTTCATGCCAATTAATAATTTTCTGTCTTCCAATGTTCAGGCTTCTCTTTAAAGAACTCAGTTGAAATACTGAAACAGTGCAATCTTCAGATGTAGTTTGGCATCAGTCTAAATTCTAGTATCTTGCCATGTATAAAGGCTTTTCTTGTCTTACACAGGAGGGAAAAAATACTGGCAAGGCAAGCAAAAATCTCCATTCCGTAGTTAGATCCTAAGTTCTTTTTCCTCTTATTAAAGTGTTGGAGTTTTTATAATCTCCTGAAACATCTACAGGATTAGTGACAGATCAAATGGTCCTCCTGCTTTATTCAACAACAAGGTACTTATTTCATTAAAACAATATAAATCACAGAGAGAAGTCATGACTACTCATTCATCTCACTAACAGTCCAGGCCCCACTTCCCTTAGAAATTTTATATTTTCTTGTCATTTCATTTAATGGACATATTAGCATATGTTATTCTTTGTATCTTACTTAAAAGTGAACTAAACACACAAATCATCTGATAATTAATATGACACCAGTTGCTTTGAAAGCACAACCATCAGGTTTGAGAGAAAAAAACACATGAAAAATGAGAACGCTAAATAAAAATCACTTTACTTGTCTGAGTTAGAGGTTAAAGACAGAATAAAACCAGAAAAGTTCACCCTTCACAATTAATTCTTTAGCACTGCTGAGTTTGTCTAATTTATTTGCTTGAAGTCATGAGTTTATGAAGCATAAAACAATATAAACTAACAATGTTTGGCACTGAACCTTTAAAAACTAACAGATGCTGTGTTGGTTTTAGCTGGGGTAGAGATCACTTTCTTCGAAGTCTGGATTTGTGTTTTGGATTTGTGCTGAAAACAATGTTGATAAAATACAGATGTTTTTGATACTGCCGAGCAGCATTGACAGTGTCAAAGCTTTTCTGCTCCTCATCCCACCTGACCTGCGAGGAGGCTGGGAGTTCTCAAGAAGCTGGAAGGACATTGACCCCAAATACCAGTGGGATATCCCAAACCATACAGTGTCATGACCAGCATACAAAGGCAAGAGCAGGAGGAGACATTTGGAGTGACAGCATTTGTCTTCCAAAGTCACCATTAAATATAATGGGGCCCTGTTCTCTGGAGATGGCTGAACACCTGCCTATCCATGGGAAGCAGTGAAGACATTCCTGATTTTGACTTCCATGCACAATTTTGCTTTGGCTATTAACGTCTCTTGTCTCAACCCACTTTCACTATTCTGTCTCTCTCCCATGCCACTGGTGTAGGAGTGAGCGAGTATCTGTATGGGGCTTGGTTGCTGGCTGAGGTCAAACCAAGACAGATGCTCTGCAATATTTAAGACTTTTATACACATACTGCTTATTTTTACGTTGTCAGCTATTTCACATATCTGCACTCAGAGAAAGCAAAAGAAATTAACAAACTGAGCCATTCTTTAATGGCTGAAACCCAGCTAAGCTGAAGTCAGGATAATGAGGGCAGAATTTCACCAGTCAGCAACTTTTTAATTTACAATGTGTACTGGACAAATTTGCAAACAAAAACTTCCTATTTTATGTGTTACATGAGGCTAAGGCTTTAAACAAGCTCTCAAATTCTTAAACTGTGCAAAGGAACAAATTTGCAAAGCCCAGTTTAGATGCTCCTTAAACAAGCCATCACAGAAAAAGGTAGGAACTATAGAAAACAACAAAAGCCAAACTACAAGTAAGTTAATGGCAAAAATCTGCATTGCCATGCAAATGACAAAGATTCCAAGTGTTTAAACCGCCACTTTTGTTTTTCAGCAACAAGATAATTTCAGATTTTTGGGTTTATTTTAATTTTTTTAAATAACCCACTCTTTTCCCATATCTGATATATTTGAAATAAATTCACACTGATCTGTGCTGGAGTCTTTTTAAACAAACCCTGAGGTATTTTCATGCAAGTCTTAGTTGGAGTGCACATATCATGAAAGTTAAAAAAAAAAAAAAAAAGGCCTTATGGAACAGAACGAAGGATCAACAAAGACATTGCATCACTGTTTCAAGAGAAATTTTGACTGCATTAAAAATATCTGCTGTATAGTGGAGTGTGTCTAAATGAGAAGCTGTTTTTACCTGGGCTGCTGGCATTTAAGATAATTAATATCAGAAAAGATCATCGCTGAAGTAACACCCTGTCTCTATTTTAAATCCCCATCTTAGAGCAGAGGAAAGAGGCCCGTGTCTTCACCAGCTAGTAACATAAGACAGTCACAGCCTTTCATATTCTTTTCCTGTTGTCTGCACCAGACTGTGGACACTTGAATAGAGACAATATCATAAGATTTATTCTGCAACTTCAAGAACTATTTAGCCACTAGAAGCCTTCCGTATTAACTTTTGCTCAAACCTTAAAATGCTGCTGCTGACTCTATAGTTGTCATTGAAGCTTAGCCCACAGACCATAATAAATTTTTAGGCCAAAGGTTCCCTTGAAGCAGTTTGTATTTTTACATGAAGTTAAAGTAAGTGCAAATGTCTTCCAAGACCTGCCCTCACTGCTAAACAGAGAGCCTGTAAACTGTTGTTTTAGATGGTTTTTACCTGGGCAGAATTTCTTTTTACAATTTTATACACTTGGACACTTTCTGCATATTTACAGAACCCTGCTTACCTAGCACTGCCCAAAAAAGCTTATCAGCAAACAATGACTGAATGATATAAAATAATGTTCTTTCAAACAGAAATGACTCCTAAATGAAATCATGTGGTAATTATCTTAACTGTTTATAAGTACAAGTATGATCAACTGCTATTATTAACATATTCTACCAAATATATAAAACCAATCCTCTTAATTATTTTCTACTTTTTTTCATTATTTATAAAGCAAGCTAGAGCAATTGCTGTGTGCTGATTTGACTAATGCATACAATCATCCAGAAAAGACAAGACACTAGATCACAGCAATCAGCTGTTTGAAACAAAGTGCAAATGCAGTCCTTGAAAGATGGTTCCTAGAGACAGTATCAGGAAACCTGCAGTTATGGGAATAGTTCCATGCCAAGCACAGAATATTGCTAGCAAATCAGCTACAGAAACCCTGCAAGAGATTATTCTGCATTACTGAATAAGTATTTCATTTCCATAACACTGATTTCTTTTGCTCCACGACTCAAAACTGTAAAAATACCTTATATCTTTTACTATTCATTAATATGACACATTCATTAAAGTACATGAAGCTAATTTAATCATATTCAGGTGCTATATTGGATAGATGAGAGTGTTTTGTCTTTTAAATAGTTTGTCTTTTATTCTACTCTCTTCATCAAACAGTATTCTGAATAATTATCAGTCTGCTGTTATGAAGTTATAGCACTATTACATCCTGACTAGGAACTTCAGGTCACCTACAGCATTTACACAAAATACCACAAATCAAGGCAAAGCACCTCAGGCTATGCAGCAAGAAAGTAATTCTTTATAGCATTAAGTAATTCCTTATAGGATTGTATGTGTTTCTAAGGTCTTCACCATTTGGATTATTACATTATCTCAGTTTTATATTCACTAGTCAGGAGGTTAAGTGTCAGCTGGAACCATTGAATCTCAATTTTTTTACACCTTTCATTTTGTTTGATGAGCTTTTTACCAATTGTAATTTACTGCTCTGATGAAAGTATAAAGCAAAAAGCTCAAAGTGTAATCAAGGCTAATGGCGAACCATGTACCATGTGACAATAAATCAGCAAGGAAAAATACTCTGGAGACAAACAGAGATGTTTAGCATTTCAGTATGAATACTATTGGAATAACTGTTTATGTAAAATTAAGAACTGTACAAGAAAACCAAACAAACACCCAAGTTCCAAAAACCCCCAATATTCTCTTATAAAAAAAAAAAAACAAAAAACTTCCCGTAAGCAACTAAATTTTGCAAGAATTAAAATCCTTTTTCTGCATTAAAGTATATAACAACGAGAACTAGTAAGAAAGTCTGAGATACTAAAACATTTGATTTTTATAAACAGTAATGAACATTGTCAGTCACAGCCTGCAGTAATCCCAACACTTGATCTTTTAAAACTTACTACATGAGAGAAAATCCCCCTCCTCTTCTATGAGGAAGACTTTCGGAGTTACTGGAACATTTTTTTCTTGGGCAACTGATATATATTTTATTTTATAAAAGCATGATATATGTAAAAAAAAAAAAAACTAAAAAAAAACTGAGAAAAAACCTCAGCAGTTTGTGTAAGGACAAAACCTACCTGAATTTGAAAAAAAATCTCAATTCACTTTAATTGCTTTTCTGAAAGGCCTCGAGACAGAAGCTAAAACATGTAATAGCTAACAGATACACTTAAATAGGAGCTTAATTTTTTTTGTTTTTAATACCACAAAGCCTGCACATTATGACTCAATAAAAATGGTTGTGTATAATTTTGTCATCATTATATTAATAACAAGTGTTAGACTGGATTTACAGTACCTTTGGATATTGTTTGACAGGGATCAGAACTCTCTCTGACAGCTTTATGTTTTTGTTGCTGATAACATCAAGATATTTCTTTTCTTCATCTTCCTTCTTGCCTTCTGAACCCTGAAATCTTTCCATTTCTGAAAAATATCATGAAACAGAACAATCAGTGACATGGTAGTTGTCATCCTTAGGAAGTTTAAACCTACACGTTCCTACCCAGACCATGCACTGAACACCAGTGATGTTTGCACTCACATGACAGGGACTGCTCTCTTTAAGAGAACCTGGACTCTCAGCAGTGCTGGGAGGCAGAGGTGACACTCCACAACTAATTCTTCCCCAGCTGAAAGGGAAGCCAAATGATCTCAGCAGGAGCAGGAATAGATAAGGCTTACAATTCCAGCTGTCACTCTTTTAAAAGGAATGACATCATCACAGCTCTATGCTTTGTGTAAATGTGACCTGCCAGAATTAAGCTGCAATAGCTATTTTCAGTACAAATACTAGCAAACTGAAGAAACTTCTTGTTGTTACTGAGTTTGCATTCAAATACCTCTGAATTAGTTAATGATAAGAAATAAAGTTAACTCTTGCTCAAAAAAAACCTTCAATTAAGAAATGCAGTGAAAAACATGAGATATGTGTGTATATATATGTGTGTATATAATTTATATATAATGCATCTAATAATTGATAATCTGTAGAACACTCTAGAATTTACAATTTAAAAAAATAAATAAAAAAGATTTTCAGGTAGAATAGTTCTGAATTCTTTATTCCCTAATGCTTAATAACCAATGGATAACAACAAATAATTTAATTCATTATCCTGTGAAAAGCATCTTATATAGTGTCTGAGAGCTCCCTGACAGTTCAGGTACTATTGAAAAAGCTGCTTTTGCAGCAGTGACATCGTTGACAGCACAGAAAGTGGCAATGCTTATAATGAGCTAATTATAACTGAATTATAGCTAAAAGAGGACAGCTGTGGATCTCAGAAACATGCTGCTTCAAGGATGGGAAAGCAATGGAAAGGAGGAACACAGCCACAGCATGCTCTAACATTCATACACAAGTTTCTTTGATTTCCAACATGCATAAAGAAAAAATGTGTTGAAAAGAACAGCCCATGTAATGATTTGTTAATAAATGTTTATGCTGCTTTTATGAGATCAAATAATTTACTTAAAGCCTGCACCAGCAGACAGTTCTCTAATGTTATAAAGCTCTTTTAAAACCTCCAAAAGAACACACCTAGAAGACCTCAGATGGGATACACATTCAATAATTTAGGATTAAAAAGTTATTTAAAATCACTGAAAGCATCAGAAGAACGTTTCATTATTGTAAAATACTTGAACACATGTAAAAAAATGTGGTATGTTGCATTCAGTGGAAGATTAATTTGGAAAGCAGCAAGCATCAATTAAGTAAGTAAAATACTCATTTTGGGCAGGTTTAATAGATAAAAAGTTCTTTGAAAATAGATCCAATGCAATTATACAAAGGGGTGTGCTATGGGGGTACAGAAGGGAGAGACAAAGGTTCATAAAGGGGGGAAAGTGTTACAAGCACAGTAAGTAGTAAATGAAATAAAGGAATTTCCCAAATGTATTGTGAACACAATACTGAATTAGATAATTCTAAAAGGCAGATGGGGAAAGTCAATCTACATATACACATATAGTTCACTAGAACCATGAAAGTTTAAGTTGGAGAAGACCTTTAAGGTGATCAAGTTCAGCTGTTAATCAAGCTCTGCCAAGTCCATCCTAAACCATATCCTTAAGTGCCACATCTACAAGTATTTTAAATACTTTCAGGGACAGCCATTTCACCACCTCCCTGGGTAATCCATTCCAATGCTCTATAACTGTTTTTGTGAAGACACAGTTCCTGCTGTCCAACCTGAACCTCCCCTGACACAGCCTGAGGCTATGTCTTCTCATCCTGTCACTACTTGCCTGGGAGAAGAAACCAACCCCCACCTGACTATAACCTCCATTCAGGTAGTTGAAGAGAGCAATGAATTCCGCCCTGAGCCTCTTTTTCTCCTCACTGATCAACCACAACTCCCTCTGCTGCTCCTCATCAGGTCTGCGACCAGACCCTTCCCCAGCTCTGCTGACGTTCTCTGGACACACTCCAGCCCCCCAATGTCTTTGTGAGGGGCCCAGAACTGGACACAGCATCCAAGGTGTGGCCTCAGCAGTGCTGAGTACAGGGGAACAATCACTGCCCTGGTCCTGCTGACGACACCACTGTTGATACAGGCAAGGGTGCCATTAGCTTTATGAACAACTAACTGTTTCTTCTGGAAAGCTGAAGATACTTAGAAGTCTGTATGGTCAGTAGGGATGGGTACTAAAGCCTAGGACAAAATGCTATGCTTTGAATCGTCTGCCATGCCTTGCAACCAGTGCCAGCCTTGTGCTTTGTTTTCGACTGAGAGTACACGGAAGTTGCGGAATGAAAGTGGCGTCTTTGCTGAAGCTAATGAAAGACTACTTCAGCTGGGCTTATCAGACTTATGTGAACAACAGTTTGTTTATCCCCCGAGACTGAGACAAGCTGTGACACTTTAATTGGTTTCACTCCATGATGAGGGCTGAGCTCTAGACCCAGAAGAGCCAGTCCCAGCTTATTATGGGAAGCACAAGAAACAGCAGTGGAGAATTGAGTTTCCTCCAGGGAATGAAAGGCAACAGAGAGCCCATTTCAGTGGAGGTCCCACAGCACGTAAGGTCAAACACAGAGAGAGAAGCAAATGAGAAGGAATCGTGATGAGAGCCCAGCTGTGAGCCCAGAACCACGAAGAAGGCAGCAGGGACACTGGGGACATCAGGTTTCTGCCAGGAAGCACTGCTGACTAGCCCGTGACCATAGCCAGACAGCTTTTGAGTATCATCTCCGAGAGAGAGTCCACAAGCACCCTGACAGTGCTTGGTCACCCTCACAGTAAAAAAAAGTTCCCCAATATTCTGAGAGAAGTTCTGTGTTCTGGACACCCCTGAAAGAGTCTGGCTTCTTTGTACCTTCCTTTCAGTTATTGGTATACATTGGAAAAGATCCCCTATAGAGTCTTCTCCAGATTGAACAGCCTGGAGGCAGCACTCCTAACCCTGTCTTCACGGACCCTTCATCATCTTTCTGAACCCTTACTTGACACTCTCCAGTATGTCCATCTCTACTTATGTGGGGACCTGCACACTGAACAGACTGCTCCAGTGGAGTATCACCTCTTTTGACCTGCAAAGTAGACTGAGAAGTAAGAAATGCCTTGCGTTGGTTTATTTCTAAAACAGAACATAGGGCTGAGTATCATCAGTGTAACCTGTAAATTTATATTAAAAATATGGCATTAGGATTTTGCTTTAGTGGAGCAGCCGTGTGAGATGAGCCACCTTAGAAGCTTTCATTCCTTAGGGCTGGAGTTTGTGTCTTCTGGGTGTGGACCCTGAAAGCCCCACGTAGTCACCAGGGAGTCATTGTGACACCTGCGACAATAAGCCTTTGGATGCTTGGGGAAGCTCCAAAAGGCCACAGTGTCTGGCCTCCTCCACTGGGGACAGACATCTGAATGTGGGGGAAGAAAAAGGACCTCCATCCCATCGTCTGCTTTCTGAAGGCACAGAGAAGATTTGCTGGACAAGGATCCTGACAGGGCCTAGGGTGCTGGTCCCAATCTGCCATGCACTCAGGCTCTGTCTGCACGTGCTGAGAGGCCAGGAATTCCTCTCCCAGTGTCCCAGCTCCTGCCTGCACGTATCAGAGAGGTTAGTTACCATCTTGCCTCAAGAACTAGAACATGCCAAGACACTCAAGTGTTACTCATCTGCCCCAGGATGGTCCCTGGCATTGGTGGCAGCCCAAGTGCTGTCCTGAGGCAGAGTGGGCAGTTCTTTAATGCTCAACTTCAGTAGCTTTGCTGCTGGTTGCAGACTGTGTCATCAGCACCAGGGAGCACACCAGCTTATCTCTTTGGTTTGCAGGGCAAAATAGCCTCAGAGGAAGACCTGGCAGAAAGCGGCACCTCTTCTCTGCCAGCACCATCCAGGTGTCCTGGGCTGCACATCCAGGTGCTTCAGAGAACCTAAGGTGCTCAGTCTGCTGGGCTGGCATTAATGACTGAGCCTCCGTGAGCTGGCATTGGCACCCTTTCTGTTTTTACTGCATGGTGGAGTGGTTCCACAGAAGAGTGGAGGGCCTGATATGCCAGTCACCTTTCCCACACACATTCCACAAGGTAAGAGACAGTAATTCTGAGGTGCACTATATGGAGGAGTCCGTCAGCTCTGCCAGCCATACTCAAGAAGAGCGAGCTGGGTCCCGCTCTACAGAAGGATGTCAGCATCATTCCCCAGGACGACAGCACCACAAGTCTTGCAGCAGAAGCTGTAGTGGTATCTGTGGTGGCAGCCGCGGTGGCAGCTGCCGGGGCAGGGCCCAAGAGGAGAGCCAAAGCAGGTATCCAAGGAGGCATCACAATGGCCGCACCAGGGTCCAGCAGGCCCAGGGCTACAGCCACTCAAGCAGCAGGAGACAGCGGCCGAGCAGGGCTCAGAACACTTCTCGTGACAAGGGCCGAAGGACCCAACGGCACATCCGTGCCCCCTCAAGGAGGCGTAAGCGCCGTCAGCAAGAATACCAGGTTTCTTTCGTAGAACCTAGGGCAATAAGGAGACGATCCCAGCAGAGGTCGCACAGATCTTCCAGCCAAACATTGAGGGAGTATCTAAGGGAGATGGAACGCGATGAGGGACGAGCTCTAAGGCATGACTGGTCCATCCGTGCCTCTTCAGGGAGGAGCAGGCACCAACAGCAGAGGCACCGGCTTTCTTACAGAGAACCGCAGATGACAAGGAGCCAAACCCCACGGAGGTTCTGCAGCACGCTGCCCCTGACGGAGAATCCAAGGAGGATGGAATGCTATGACAGACAGATTGAACAGGGCATCCATGCCTCCCCAAGGAGGAGTGAGCGCCTTCAGCAAGGACGCCAAGCTTCTTTCATCGAACCACAGATGACAAGGAGCCAATCCCGGGGGAGGTCCAGCACACAGTTCTAAACACTGCAGGAAACTCTAAGGAGGATGGAATGTGACATCTCAACCTCCTTGGAGTGGTGTGAGTGCCATCAACAGAGACGCCAGGTTGATTTCACTGAACCACAGGTGACAAAGAACTGATCCCATGGAGGTCCTCCAGCCATGCTGTGCACAACCCTAGCAGCATACCCTACCAACAATGGAACTACTGTATGCCCTGTTCCCAGTGTCAGGAATTATACTACTTTAGACAAAAACAGCCCCTACTAACAATTGCAAAAATAAAGTCAAATCAAATGCTCAAGCCTGGGGCTAAGGCTCTATTCTCCATAAAAAAATGCATCTGAAAATCCAAAGACATCCTTGCAAGGCCTTTTCAGGTTAGGAGGATAACAAGCATGAAACTTCAGCACTGCTTTTGTCATTTTGTTCTGTGGTACCCACTTGTGTATAAAATGGCGTATTGAACATTTTGTATGGGGGTGCCTTTCTCTCTATATTGGGTTTCCACAGTGTGATCAACGTTTTTGTGTTTTTGCCCTGATACCAAAGACACCAACAACTTATTAGGAAATCTCTTGTCCTTCCACACCTATTTTCTTATGCTTTATCCCAAACATACCCCAGAGTAACTTCTCCTGTTACCACTCTTCTCACTATGAAGCAGTGAAGAGTGAAGTCAATTTACAATTACTCTATCTCAAAGACACTGCCTATAACGCCAATCCAAATCTAATGCCGGGTAGAAAGCCTCTGAAAAGATTTTCCTTCTCCTTTAAAGACTTTAAAAATAAACCCCAAAGTCTTCACAGAGAAATTGCCCCCATGCTGTGTCCTGCACAATGCCTCAGGTTTAATGCCCAGCATTAAACAGGCTAGAGGCTCTTCAGACCATGGCCAAATACTACAAAAGTCATCAAAAAACAGTTTTGCACCAAGAACTGTTACTTTCAAGTAAGACTGGAGCAAAAAGAGGAGTCTTCTCAAAAGACTGGAGCAAGACAAACTGTATTCAATTTTTGTATTGAACTACAGTCAGCCATTACTGTGTACATTCCTCATGTCACTCCATGACTAGTACCATCACAGAAAAGAAGCATTAAGACAGTCTCATGAAGGAATCCAGGCCAGGATCAAGCTGCCACCTTGCTTGCTCACAGCACTGACACACAGCTAGTTCTTTAGCTGAAAATTTTTACTCGCCAACTGCAAAAACTATGGTCACCTGCAACACACACTACAAAAACAGAACTAATGCCTTTAGTGAGATGTTGCACTCATTGCATCCCTCATGCTTATGTTTAGCTTGTTAGTTTTCTGTGCATTTCTGATAAATCCCCCAAAGGAAAAGACGTGGCTGCCATATGGACAATTCACTTGTGGGAGACAAACCTGGCTCTCCATGAGCATATTGAATCATTCAAACCTTCCCATGTCATGAAATCTGCAGGGGCTTTCTTAGCTTGAGTGTGTTTTGAGTCACAGAACCACAGAACAGCAGAGGCAGGAAAGGACCTGCAGAGACCATCTAGTGCAACCTCCCCTGCTCAAGCAGAGTGGCCAAGAGATAGTGGCCGCTGGACTACAGCCACACAACATTTGAGCATATTCCTGCACATGTCAAAAAGGTCAGTCGCCATCCTGCCCTGAGAGCTGGAACATGCCAACACACTCCAGTGTCACTCCTTGTACCAAGATGGTCCCTGGCACTGCTGGTAGCCCAAGTACTGTCCTGACAGTAGCTCTTTAATGCTTGACTTCTGCAGCTTTGCTGCTGGCTGAAGACTGTCTTCCTAGTGCAGGGGAATGTGTGCTGCTGCTTATAGAAAGCTATAGACAGTACAGGATTTTGTGACCAGCTGTATTAGGTCTGCATGGCCTGGTTTTGGAATTAGAGGGAGCTACAGGGGTGGCTCCTGTGAGAAACTGCCAGAAGCTTCCTCAGTGTTTGCCAGAGCCAATTTCTGGTGGCTCCAAAGATGGATATGCTGCTGGCCAAGGTTGAGACAACTATAAATGGTGGTAATGTCTCTGTGATAACATGTTTAAGAAGAAACAAAACAAAAATGGTGGGGCAGTTGTAATCGCAGCCAGAGAAGAGCAGAGTGAGAACATGCGAGAAGAAAAACTATGCAGACACCAAGGTCAGTGAAGAAGGAGGAGCAGAAGATGCTCCAGGCACCAGAGCCAAGGTTCCTCTGCAGCCTGTGGTGAAGGTCATGGTGAAGCAGGCTGTCCCCCTGCAGCCCATGATGATCCATCGGGGCTGGATGGAGGAGCTTCACACCAGAACAGGTGGATACTTGAGAAGAGGCTGTGACTACACAGAAGACCTGAGGTGAGAGGGACCTGTGCTAGAGTAGCCTGTCCTTGAAGGACTGCACATCATGGAAAAGTGACCAAGTTTGAGGGGAACTGTTGCCTGTGGGATGGACCCACATTGCAGCAGTTCACAGGGAGCGGCTTCTCGTGAGATGGACGCATGCTGGAGAAGTTCAGGGAGAACTGTCTCCCACGGGAGGGACCCTGGTGCAGCAGGGGAAGGATTCCTGAGTAGCAGGAAAAGCAATGGGTGATGAATGGACCATAACTCCCATTCCCTGTCTCCTTGTGCCGCTGGGGTAGGAGGTAGGGCTGGGAAGGAGGGGGGGCAAGGTGGGGGAAAAGTGGTTTTTTAGGGTTTTATTTTACATCTTATTGTCCTGTTTTGATTTTGTTAGCGATAAATCCACTTTCTATCTCCAAGTTGAGCCTGTTTTGCCTTTGATGGTAATTGATGGGTGTTTTCTGCCTGTCCTTATCTCAGCCCAAGAGCCCTTCGTTAAATTTTCTCTCCTCTGTCCAGATGCAGAGGGGAGTGTAAAAGTAAAGCAGAGAATACTGAAAAAAGTTACTAACTTAGCTTTCCATTTCATAAATCCATTAAGGAAAAAGAAGGTAGTCCCCTCAAAAAAAAATCCACACAAATGGGCTGACAGTATGTCCAGAATTTTACACCTCAAACCATGCATATTTCAGTCACGCAAAAAGAGGCCCCAACTAGAGAAATATCAGAGACAAAAAGACATTTCTACCTATATCTTTTTAGAGTTATTTTTCCCTATGAAAATTTATCTTAAGCTATCTCCAGACTTTGAGCTGTAACATTCTGAAAATATTGCAGCCCATTTATGTGGATTTTTTTGAGGGGAGTACCTTCTTTTTCCTTCATGGATTTATAAAATGGAAAGCTAAGTTAGTAGCTCTTTTTCCGTATTCTCTGCTTTACTCTTACAGTGCCAATAAAATGATGTTAATTACATTTCTCTTCAAAGTCCTTGACACGTATTACAAAACTTCTCTAATGAATATATTTTTTCTATTAAAATTAAGCACCCCAGAGTAAAAACATCCTTTTGCTACACTTAAGAGTCATGTCAAAACTCTTCAAAAAATAATTTTCTTCTTGTCAGTCTGTCCAACCCACCAAAAAAAATTAAATCTACACAATTCTTTCTGCTGTCAACACTTGCCTCCCACTTAAAGGAATTTTGCAGCCTATCTAGCTTTTCTTGCCTTTGCGGTACTGGCACTGCTTCAATCAAGAATCACGGGCTGCTGTTAACAAGGTCAAGCCTCCTGAAACAATCACATGTTTCTATTAATGGGAATGATTTCCGGAATGGGAGTATCACCAACATCTTGCATGCAAGTACTATTATGTATATAAAGCTTATCTAGTACTCAAAGAAGTACACATTTTCTTCTGGTTAATGAAAGAACAGAAGAATGAGACAATGCCAGTGCAAAATAACAACCACTAAATTATTGACAGCTATAATTTAGAGAGAGCATTTTTAATTTAAGCATCATTAAAAAATTACACAGTGAGAACTCTGAATACCTAGAACAGTGTTAACAAAAAATTCCCAGCATATTTTTAGAAACAGAAAATACTGAAAACATACATGAAGGCTCATTTTCTGTCTAAGGCATTACATTTTCATTGAAAGCAGGGCTATTGGATTTTGAGTCAGGGGATAAAAAAAAGGCAGATGGCTCAATAGTTGAACAAATTAAATTGGAGTTAATTCATGAGAAGTGAACATCCTAAGAGTCTTCCAGTAATAAAAACGACATCCAAACCCCTAAGAATTGGTAACTTAAAAATAAAAATATTAAGTGTACCAAAAGTGGTTGGGAGGGGTTATAAGGACAGTACAATCAGCCATGAGCACTGAAAAATTAGCCACTGACTCAATATACTCACCCAGAAAAACATTCATATATTGTATTAACAACATTTCTTTACTTTATGTACACATACTTGTTAAGTCACACAGCTAGTTGGAATGATTCAGGGAGGATAAGGAAATACTTCTTACATCAGACACAACTAAGGCAATACCTCTGCCAGTGATGAATTTAATACCTGTTAGATAATTGTGGATCAGATCTACATGTTTATGTCATCTGTTCTAGACAAATACAAACTGAAGTTTTGTAACTGTATTAGCTCGAGCTGAATCACCTTGGCTCTCAAGCAAGAAATGTGGCTAGTAAAATAATGTTCAGAAAGAATTCTGAAAGACAAGTCAAAAAGGAATGACAGAGACATGCAAAATCAGGCACAGTATGAGAAGAAACAAAAATGGCTATTTAATGTTTTTCAGGAGGGGAAAGCTTCTCTTTGCGATGTACAGATTGAAAAAAAAATACTTTTATGTATAGGATGTAATTACACAGGGGAACTGCTGAAAGCATCCATATTGATAAAATCTAGTCTTTTACAGATTTTTTCCTTATGATTAGATGCCATCCTATAAAGTACTGAAGGTCTTTTTGGGCATGTCTGAAAATACAGCATCCATTAAAAGTTTAATATATTATGCAGGTATTTTTTATTGTTGGACTTTATGGCCATTATCATCTATCAGGCTGCCTATTGTGTAGAACATAGAGAAATTGCAGAAAAGTGATCCTTCAGTAGGTACTCATCAGAATGCATCTATGTGCAACATTGGGGCCAAACTTGCCCTCTCCTTCCCAAAAGAGGTAAGACATTGACAAAGTGGAGCAAAGTCAGTGAAGGCCACTCATGGTGGTCAGAGCTGGAGTACTTGTCCTGTGAGAAGAGGCTAAGAGAACTGGGCCTGTTTATTGTGGTGAAGAAACAGCTTGGAGGGATCTAACAGCAGCTCAGCAACGCTGATGTTCCCAGGGTCACGCTCTTCACAGGAGTGTGAAACAAGGGTAACAGGGAAAAGGTGAAAATAGAAAGGCTTGGCCTGTGCATAAGAAAAAGTTTTCTCAACACAGTCCAGC